GTCCGCCGATTTCGCATAGTAAGCGAAATCATCCGCGAACATTAGGTGCCCGCAATGTTGAATGCCGGTATTTTTTTCAACAGAAGTGTAGTAATCGCCTGCGACACTTTGAAAGAACCAGCACCGGTACGCAACAGCAAGGCGACGGCGTCCCAGAAAAATACGGGCACTGCTCACGGGAGGTCACTGAGGTCGGGCTCAGCGGAGCCGTCACGCTTCGGTCGGCGCGACCGAGCGCGCCATCGGTTGTACGGCCCGGCCAGTCGGCGAGCCTTTAGCCTTGGCCGTGTATAAAACGGCGCGCATCGAGCAGTGAAGCCAGTTCCAGACGTCTCATCATAGTGCGGGCTACGAGTGTGCAAGTTAGTGAGTGACTATGCTGCAGGCCAGTGCAACGGACTTCTCTTTTGGTATTTGGATCGTGACCACGGCATTGTTGTTGGACATCTCCGTTTTTGTTAAATCTGGCAAGTCCCCGGTAAATGTCCTGGTTAGTTTGTGACTACGCATGTTTTTCTCTGTATGTTCAGCAATTGTGAAGAAAACACTACTTTATGAAATTAACTTGATTTGAGAATAACAAGAAGCACGAAAAATCGTGCGTGGTCCATGGCCTATTTATTAGAGAATTGCTCCGCCATTCGCCGGGAGTTGTTCGGCCGGAAAACTACCTATCAGAGCAGCCGGTCGCAAGAATTATTTTCCGGACAGAAGCTGAACTAACACTACCTATATAGGTAGTGTCGAATATCTTATCATCGCGATGCATCGTCGGAACTGGACCCGTAGGATCTTCCGGTGAAAGGCATTGCTGCAACTGCGAGCAGTTGATGTCGAGCCATCTTAACAGGTCATACTCTTCGACAAATAACTGACTTTTAATGTTTTCCAATATAGTGGATAACTTGGACTATTTCCACCACTTATGTTTTCTTTAAAGATATTAATCTTCATTTTTATTGATCATTCTAGTTTATATTCTTATATAAAAATGTGCACTATTTACGATATTTAAGAAAATGAATATTACTTTGTTATATTATGAGTTTTTTTTTCTCACACACAAGTATTCGAAGTGTGTGATAACTCTATTGTTTAGCTTTGTATAAAATGTATTAAGATCTAACATTTAACAGGTATTCTGATAATGTTAATCTTATTTATTATGAATCTACTTTATATTGCATACAAATAATTACTTTTCAAATATTGATAAACTTTTCGTACTGTGTACGATGCATGATGATAAAAATTCATATTTCTAAAATTACTGTCCTTTTGTTTCTAGGTATGTATGCCGGATTATACTGGTATTCAACCGTTTGCAGTTGTAATGCAATTTACGTGCAGGTAAGTTGCATCAATTGAACCCTTTATAGGTACGATTTACATTTGGAATAGAAACCTGGCCACTTCGAGTTTCATCACAAATATCTTGGAAAATGAAGGCGTAATAATGGAGGATAATGTGGTAATAATTACCTTAACAGGATACATTATATCCTCAGGGAACTAAAAACTTCACGTAATTGTGCTCCCGCCCCCGGTTGTTGCGGAGAGGTCGAGAAATGTCATTTCAACTGTCCTGGACGTCATGTCTGGCAAATTAGTTTATTGAATAATCAATAATTAATTTGAGTGATATGCCAATAATGCGGTCAAGGACGCATTAGTACATATCCTGAATGAGACAGATCCCGTTGGAATTAATACGGTGCTTCAAAGTGCAGTTCTGTGTTCCGTCCTGTAGTATTCCGGTTGAGGGATTCTCGTGATATTTCCTAACGTTGGATTTTAGAATATCCGTGGGTGTCAGATTTTATACCATATTTGCGTTTTCAACCTTGGGAATTAAGTATTCAATTTATTGTAAATGGTATTTATTTGCATTATGACAATATAGCCACATAAAATACACCTAGGGTATTCTGCATTCGTTCACTATTCAAAAAATACATTCTATATACTGAGGATAGTATAATCCATGTCGTGCTTTCTTCACTTTCTCTGGAAAATGACATATTCAATTTTTTTCCTATTTGAGATTATCGATATACAACATTAATATCCCAACACCGATTTATTTGCCAGATTAAAAAGATATATCTGGGTACCTATGTCTAGGTACCTTTTAATACTTGTCACTTTGTCCTTACTTCCGAACATAAAGCCCTTAGAATATACGTTTCATTTCTTGAGAGTAACATTTGACCAACCAAGGAGGAATTAACCAGTTAGGAATACGCTGAACAATATTATTATACTTATATTATTGTTTTGTTCATGCGGAGTATGGATTTTGTTTTCGTAAAATCTTGTTTGTGTTTACAAGAATGTATCAAATAAAGTTCAAAACCTTGAAGCATTAGTAGTAGTAGTAGTGAATTTTCCCCTAGTCTCCTTGCAATCTCATCTTGAAAACAGCACGAAACTTAGTCCCCCTTTTTTTTTAAAGTTCACGTCGTTGACGATTTGTTTTACAGTATGTCGTAGCACTTTCCAACTGAATAACCAGTCCAATGGGAAACCTTTGCGAAATGTATTTGTCCAAGGTTTCGCTCACAGGTTATCTTCGGATGGTCTTTAGAAGTATACTGCGGTGATTTTGCGTACTTCACCACAGATAAAAATGTGTATTATAATTTATGGTTAGGCAAAAATTACACAAAATTGTGTTTTTCGGGTAATGTTTTTATCTCACTGTCGTTGCGAGTTCGGGCTAGTATTGATGCTATCTAATACACATTACATCGAGTCTTTCTATTTGATTTAAAAATGAGAATGAATATCAATATTGTATCTGTTCACTTCAAGATTCGCGGTTGGCCGATGGGTACGACTGTGAAGTCAGAAGATACTATAAAATGATTTCTTTTTTTTTTCGGGAAACTAGAGGCTAATGTACGCCATTGTCAGAAAAAAAAATATTTCCAAGAAACTGTGCACCGAACAAGTGAGGAAAGCTTTTTTTTCGAATTCGTAAAATCACAGTTGTGACATATCTTTCAAGAAAATGCGCTGCGATAATTTTGTTTCCGATGAAATTTACTTGTAAATCCTTTGCAGAGTACATGTGATAAGTATGACATACTACGAAGCGCACTATTACTGTTTCAAGAAAGGTTTTTAAAATCATTGAAGTAATATTTAAAAATTGTTTTGCTTAAAGAAATTACAAACCGTAAAGTTTTAAAGTAATAAAAAATATTATATTCCAAAACAGAATAAGGAGTAAGAATATTACCTGAACTAGCAAAAACTTAATTAAAAAGATAATTCTCAACACTAACTATTAGTGGTTCAGGAAACAACGGCCCACGTTATCCTCAATCACATAAGCTGATTTCCTAACAATCAGCAACTTCTTTTAACTGCCGCCGCTTGCCAAAATAATCTGCTCACCTCACCAATCATTAAGTTAGTCGCGAGGGGGGGGGGGCGGGGGGGGGGGGGGGGGGGGGGGGGACACGGGGGGCGGTGCTTTCTTTTACAGGGGAAGGAAAGAGTCGTCACCCTTCGCGCACAAATTTCCCCTTCCCACGCGCCCGCATCACCCGACTGCCGTCGCAACGCAACCTAGCGGCAAAGCGCCTCAACTCGCGCTTCTTTTGTCTCCCCGCATCCGCTGCCGTGGGCGCTGTTGCTCAGAGCGCCTGCCCCCGTCAAAGGTTTACGACGTCGCACCCGGCTGCGCAAGCATTTTATTCGCAGAGAAACTGTGGCGTTCTATAGGCGGGCGGAGGCGGTCGCGCCCGCTGCCCACATGTTTGTGAAGAAGATTCCAGACCTCGGATTCAAGAAGAAAAAAAATTAAAAACCAAACGATGTTATATTAATAAGGAAAATAATAAAAATGCAATTAAACTAGAGTGATGTTTAGAAGTGAAAACGTTATCTGAGGAGAAATGCGAAATTAACCTTTGACGTATACCGTATTTTTACTGTGAGACGTTCTCCGCATTTATTAGAATTTTTAATTTTCATCCTTCAAAACTATAATAAATAATTTTTTGATAGTTTTTTATTTTGAATTATCTTTAAAAAAAATTACAATTTGATCTTAACATCCAAAATAACCCACTTACCATAGCGACGTACAACTATCAAGTTTGTTATTCCTTTACTCAAACTGGGACACACTCTTGCTTTGAATAATGACAAACTTCCTTTAACTCCTTTCAAAAACTTAAATAGTTCAAACATTAAATTGCTCCCACAGCTAACACACCCACGGACTCATGCTAATTTCGGTGGGTCATTTCACCAACTTAAGGATTCAAATTCGTTTCGCCAGAGCTAATCCTCACTAGCCACCCCCTCAGCAATCACTGTAAACCAGGTCACCACACTTGCAGACACATATATGTAAAGCTATTATAAATTTTATTACGTATTCGTGACAGTTATTGAATTACTCGTCTATGTTGTCTGGTTTGAGTAATGGTCAATAAATCAAATAATTACTTTATAGATATAACCCACTTCA